CCCTATAATTGCCACTTTGGTTGGAACGGGTGAAGAATCGCTGCAAAAAGTGCTGTATACAGATTCGGTTTCGACCTGCTCAATCATTCAATATCCTGCTGGAAGCTGGAGGACAAGGCACCTGAGAATTCGAGCAGCCGGTGTCAGGTCTCTGGTGGACCGTGGTTACATGGTGATAGCGCATCTTCGCGGTGAGTATATGATTGCTGACCTGTTGACAAAATTGCTGAGTGGACAGGTTTACGCGAAGCAAGAGGCGCTTTGGGGTCTCCAACTGTTGGTGCAAGGAACTGACTTGAAAAGGGCCTCTCTTGCAATGGCGGTCATGATGGTGGCTGCATCTCTGCAAGGGATGGCAACTGGTGGAGAAGAAGTGTCAAATGCTGGATTCTTTTGCTCAGGGGAAGGAGTGTGCAGAGTCGCCAATACATCTACGGTTATGGTTCTGGCTCAAGGTATTGAAATGGTTATCAGCAATGCAGACCTTGTTGCGTATTTGGTGGCAGCGATTATACTCTGGGAATTGGCCTGGTGCCTCCTTCGGCGGCTGTATAAATGGCTGTGGGTCAAGAAAGTGGTGGTTATTCCTGCGAGTGCCACTTTGTATACAACGGTGGGTGGGAACTGTATGCACGCAAGCAGTGACTGGGATGTTCTGCGATATTCACAGCCCAGGGCTAAGACGCTTTGTAAGCATTGCCTCAAGGATGGCTGGGTGGTGAATGCTGAGTTCCTTGGTGAGGAACGGGCCGCTGGAACATAGACTTTTTCAAGTATGAGGTGAAGAAATCCTCAATGGTAAGGGATTCGGCCAATGAGCTGAAGGTTCGTCCTGGAAAGACGTAAAACCATGGTGTGCAAATTAATGGCTATGGCCCGTCCATCGGACGTTAAACATGAAGATGACCGTTGTCAAAGCGACAATTTTTCGGTCAAAAGTCTGCACCTCCAGTTTGTGTCCTAGGAAAACCTAGGACAGGGGGAGTGCGGAGCTGCAGTTTGTATTGTGGAAAAGGTGTTGAAGGTTAAAGGGTCAATGAACCCGGAACCAATTTGGCTCAAGACTCAATGAGTAGCTTCGTAAAAAGTGTGCCCTTGGTTTGGGGTTTGGTTTGTTTGGCTGGTTGGTCTAGGGGTAAATCCAGGACTTCGGTTGGGGCTGACTGTCTTGTTCCTTGTCCCCCTTCGGTTGCCCCCCGTACCCTAAACCCTAAACCCCTTAAACCCTATTAAAGCCCATTAAGCCCTAAACCCTAAACCCTAAACCCTAAACCCTAAACCCTAAACCCTAAACCCTAAACCCTAAACCCTAAACCCTAAACCCTAAACCCTAAACCCTAAACCCGAAGCAGGGTGTCGGTGGGTGCTCTTCGGTGAAGGAGGGCTTTGGGCCTCTCGGAGCAAGGCATCGGAGCTGTCAACTCTAGGGCTCAGGGTTTAGGGTTTAGGGTTTAGGGTTTAGGGTTTAGGATTTAGGGTTTAGGGTTTAGGGTTTAGGGTTTAGGGTTTAGGGTTTAGAGTTGGAAAAGGGTTGAGAAGGGCTCCCTTTCAAGGGTCAAGGGTCCCCCGAATCCTACCTCGGATGAATGGCCCCTTTCGACCGAAACCCTAAACCCTAAACCCTAAACCCTAAACCCTAAACCCTAAACCCTAAACCCTAAACCCTAAACCCTAAGCAGTCCTTGAGGTTGGGTGGCTCACCCCCGAAGTAGTCACGGTAGAGCCGCCGCATGGCTTGCTCCTCGTGAGAGCTTGGGGGTTAGGGATTTAGGGTTTAGGGTTTAAGGTTTAGGGTTTCGGGTTTCGGGTTTCGGATTTGGGGTTTGGGGTGTATAGGGTGTGGGTGCAGGCTCAACAGGTCAGGGCTTCAGGGAATAAGGCTTAGGGTTTAGGGTTTAGGGTTTAGGGTTTAGGGTTTAGGGTTTAGGGTTTAGGGTTTAGGGTTTAGGGCTCACGCCATACACAGGCCTTTGCAGGCGAGCGTGAAGTTGTTTTGAGGGTGGGTTCAGGGTGGGAACTCTGACTCGAGGGGCCCTAAACCCTAAACCCTAAACCCTGAACACGCTGGGTACCACACCGGTGGATACTCGCCCTTCTTGGCATGGAAAAGGTTGTACCTGCGGCAAGCTGGACGGTAAACAGACGGGCGTTCCCCTTCTGGGGTGTCTGTCTTTAAGGAATCCGACCGGAAACCCTCAAAAAAGGGGGTCGGGATATTATGGCTCCCTTTTGTAATTATACTATAAAAACCCCCAAACCCTATTCTAACTATTCAGGCCCCTGTTATTAGGCCCTAAGCTACCTGTAAGCAGGGCAAGAGCTGCTCACCTTCTGCTGGGATTCCCGCGCGCAGCCATGCAGCTGATGCTCATGATGCTCAAACAGCACAGCAAAAAGCCCATCGTGGGGAAGGAGAGCAGTCAACTGCACAGCTGCACGCGGGAGCCCCAGCCGAAGGCGCGCATCATGAGCATTCCACCTACTAAGGGTACCCTGTTTTTGGTTGGGCTACTCTAGAAGGGAACCTTGAACCAAAAATGGGAAAAGGGCACCAATGGCCTACCAGCTGGGCTACAAGTAAACCCAGCAGCAGGACAACTTCATGACCATCAGCAAAGTACGAGCACCCTAGACAGAAACCCTGGCGGGAGGGCAGCATGAGCCAAATTGAAGGCAATCAACGTCAGCTGAAATGCCTGTCTTTGTTTGCTCCGCTTTGCTCTTTGCCGAAGATGCACTTCAACGCACTTGGAATTTTCAAGCCAGCGGCTAAACCCTACAACACCTATACACCCTGCAAATCCTATAAACCCTATAAACCCTATAAACCCTATAAACCCTATAAACCCTATAAACCCTATAAACCCTATAAACCCGATAAACCCGATAAACCCGATAAACCCTATAAACCCTATAAACCCTATAAACCCTATAAACCCTATAAACCCTATAAAACCCTATAAAACCCTATAAAACCCTATAAACCCTATGAACCCTACCCTCCCTATAAACCCTACAAACCCTAACTTTGGACCCCAAGCCCCCTGAAGCCCCTAAACCCTAAACCCTAAACCCTAAACCCTAAACCCTAAACCTGATCTGCTGGCGCACTTGCTCTCCTTGCCTTTCAGCGTGTACCAACCTTGTTCCGCGCGTCAGGAGGGCAATTGTTGGCTTTAGGGCTTAGGATTTAGGGTTCAGGGTTTAGGGTTTAGGTTTTAGGGTTTAGGGTTTAGGGTTTAGGGGTTAGGGTTTAGGGTTAGGGTTTAGGGTTTAGGGTTTAGGGTTGAGGGCCGTTAAGGGTTCAAAGCTGAGGGTGCAGGGTTCAGCGCTCCTAAACCCAAAAGTGCCCCCCGGCCTTCTTTTCGGGGTCGCGGGGATCTTGGGCGCGGGCTTCTGAGGGCTTGGGGATCCCGGGCCCTGGGGGTTTTGAGACCTAAACAACCCCAAAATCCCGACAATAAACCCCTTTGAAGGTTTGAGTTTAGGGTTTAGGGTTTAGGTCTTAGGGCTTCGGGCTTAGGGTTTAGGTTTTAGGGTTTAGGGCCCTAAACAACCCCCAAAAATCCCTAAGGTTCTGACCCTCAGCCCCCCCCTGGAGCCCTGAAGCTAAACCCTAAACCATAAACCCTAAACCCTAAACCCTAACCCTAAACCCTAAACCCTAAACCCTAAACCCTAAACCCAAAGCGGGCTCGGGTCGCGGCCGGAAACGAGCGGCTTGTCGATGTTCCGGTGGAGGCCGTTGCCGCCCTGTGATGGGGATAGGATTAGGGGGACTCTTGGGGATATAGACCCTCTGAATAAGGTCCCTGTTTAAGAGTCCCCCCTATCCTACCTAGGACTGTGATGGATAGGCTTGAGGTTTAGGGAGTGCAGGGAGTTAAGGGTTTTAGGGTTCAGGGCTTCAGTGTTGGGATTTAGGGTTAAGGGTTTAGGGTCTTAGGGTTTAGGGCTTAAGTTTTGGAATTTAGGGTTTAGGGTTTAGGGTTTAGGGCTTCAGTTTTGGAATTTAGGGTTTAGGGTTTTAGGGTTTAGGGCTTAAGTTTTGGAATTTAGGGTTTAGGGTTTAGGGTTTAGGGTGTAGGGTTTAGGGTTTAGGGTTTGGGTTTAGGGTTTAGGGTTTAGGGTTTAGGGTTTAGGGTTTAGGGTTTAGGGTTTAGGGTTTAGGGTTTAGGGTTTAGGGTTTAGGGTTTAGGGTTTAGGGTTTAGGGTTTAGCGTTTTGGTGATCTAGGGTGTTAGGGTTTTAGGGTTTAAGGGTTTAATGTGTTAGGGTTTAGGGTTTTAGGGTTCTAGGGGGTTTAGGGGGTTTAGGGGGTTTAGGGGGTTTGGGGTTTTAGAGTTTTAGGGGTTTAGGGCTTAGTTAAGGGTTTAGGGTTTTAGGGGGTTTAGGGCTTGGGGTTTTTGGATGGGGATTAGGAACTACGGTGGAGGCTTGACAGAAAAGGCTGCCACCAGACAGCCAAGACACCTTCGACCCACCCACACCCCATACACACGTTGTGAGCGCAAAGTACCTGAGAAACTCGTCAGGGCTCAGAGATTCTCATGGTTGAGGGATCCTCACCCCAGTTCTTCACCCCAAGTTCGAGACGCAATACCCCGAAAAAAACCCGAACCCTAAAAGCCCCAAACCCTGAACCCCCCCCCCCCGTACGAACGACGCGTCCCGGACTTCTGCCTTTTAGGTAACCACGATAGGTCCTCGTAGCGACGCCAGCCCCTCATGATATCCCTAAAGACGCTGAACCCTAAGGCCCGAAGACCCGAAGACCCCCCCATCCCTTTCAACCCTAAACCAGAAAGCCCCACCTTTCGCAGCGAGGACACAATTCCACCCGGCCCGAATGTCTCGGCCTCGCACTCGGTTAGCTTAGGTGTTTGGGGCTGAGGGCCTTTATCGGATCAAGGCTCAGGGCTCAGAAGCTACCAGTAATTAACGCCTTTTCAGGCCGAGGGGCATTACAGGGTGTGGAGATTAAGGTGATGAAATATGGGCTTATGGCAGTTGCAACGAGGACCATCGTGGAAACAGCATCAAACCGTCGAACCTGACATGGCGCCTGGGGTGCAAGAGTCAATCTTTGTAGGAGCAACAGGGCACTGAGAGCATGGGATCTGTGGTTGCTGTCATTGGATTCGTGGACCAGAAAGATCTTTACGAACATCGGAAGAGAATGGCGCATTCATCTTCGAATGTGAATCTGCATCCCCGCTGTTGTCAGATCTGCAGGCCAAGTCCTGACAATAGGTCTTCATCGCGTATGCAGTCGTGGGGGGCATAAGCACGCACGCACACACACACTCTGCCTACTGCCTGTATGGGTAGGTCGTGTGTGCGTCGACCCTTTCGTTCTCCTAGATGCCCACTGCGATCGCGTCTGCAGGGTTTCCTAGCGCTATAACCGCACACCTTGGAGCCCCGTATGTGGGTGCGAGGGAGATTGCACGAAAGATGGTCCAACAGTACACCTGCCCTAAACCCGAACCCCTAAACCCTAAACTTAAACTCGAAACCCTTACCAAGATTCTTCTGGGGGTTTACGATATTCGGAGTACCTTAAAGGGGTCCTTATTATAAGGGGATCCTACTATTTGGGGATCCTACATTAAGGGTCCGTTATTGTCGTAAACCCCCTCCTGGGCTGCCGGGCCAGGACGCTGTTGACGTTGCCGAAGGGCCGGAGGTCGTCGCTGCCGACCAGGCCGGCACTCCCCAACAGCATCTGCGAGGCGGGAAGCCGATTCTTCTTCCCTCAACCCTAAACCCTCAACCCTCAAAAACCTAAACCCTCAACCCTAAACCCCAAACCCCCCAAATCTTGGGTTTAGGGGCTTAGGGGTTTAGGGTTTCGGAGATGGGAGTTGTCCGAAAATCTTCGGATCACAAAGACACGTGCCGGCGCGCCCAAATGCGGAGGCCGACATTGCCCTACACACCACTCAAACATGGCACCACAGTTCTGCAACACCTGCGGCCCTTACACTCTAGGCCTAAACCCTAACAGCCCTAACAGCTGCCGGCACCTTCCATCCACAAAAGCGACCTGAACCCGAGGCCCTCTCGAACCTTGAACTCACACAAACCTGCAAACTTTCCACCGCAAGCCCTGAAACCTGAAACCCTAAACCCTAAACCCAAAATCCCTAAACCCTAAACCCTAAAATGGGAAGGGAGCCTGCTCGCTCTCGTAGAGGAGGAGGTCCTTGAAGGTCGAGAGTAAGTTCGAGGAGCCTTGCGAAGTCACGCCATTTTAGGATTTAGGGTTTAGGGTTTAGGGTTTTAGGGTTTAGGGTTTAGGGTTTAGGGTTTAGGGTTTTAGGGTTTTAGGGTTTTAGGGTTTTAGGGTTTTTAGGGTTTTAGGGTTTTGGGGTTTTAGGGTTTCAGGGTTTTAGGGTTTTAGGGTTTTAGGGTGTTAGGGTTTAGGGTTTTAGGGTGTTAGGGTTTAGGGTTTAGGGTTTAGGGTTTAGGGTTTAGGGTTTAGGGCTTAGGGCAGCTCTCCGAGTCCTGGTCCCGTGTTTGGTTATCCTAGACATGGTCAAAAAAAATCGGAAATTTGGCCCCTTTTGGGGTCCATAATATGGGACCACAGTTTTGAGAACCACATGAGGGAGGATCCGTATTACGATGGGAACTCCGAAGGGACGAAAAATTAGAAAGAGCTACCCCCGAAGCTGCTCCGCACTGACTCGGTTCCAGGGCCCCCGAAAAGAGGGGCGACCAGCGACTCAGCGAGTCAGGGTTTCGAGCTTTAGGTTCTTCACCCTAAACCCTAAACCCTAAACCCTAAACCCTAAACCCGAACACCCGAACACCCTAAAACCCTAAAACCCTAAAACCCTAAAACCCTAAAACCCTAAAACCCTAAAACCCTAAAACCCTAAAACCCTAAACCCTAAACCCTAAACCCTAAACCCTAAACCCTAAACCCTAAACCCTAAACCCTAACCCTAAACCCTAAACCCTAAACCCTAAACCCTAAACCCTAAACCCTAAACCCTAAACCCTACATACCCTGCACCCTGAGCCCCTTTCGGCACTCGTCCCACCCTCGGGCCGGCCTTGCGCCAGCTCCGGAACGTTCCAGCAGGCGCCAGCCAACTCGAGCCTTGTTTCTTGGTAGCCCAGTAAGCATGTTAAGATAAGGGTTTAGGGTTTAGGGTTTAGGGTTTAGGGTTTAGGGTTTGGGGTTTCGGGTTTGGGGTTTCGGGTTTCGGGTTTGGGGTAGCCCAGTAAGCATACTAACATAAGGGTGCCCTTCTTCGGTTGCTGGTTACGTTTATAATTCAGCCTTGTAGCCATGATAACATAAGGGTGCCCCTTTTTGGGGTTGGATACTTTATAAGGGAACCTTGAACCAAAAAAAATGGCAAAGGGTGCCACTTCATGCCACTTCGGTGGGGCCTTCTTGGTGGCGCCTTCCGTGGGGCCTGCAGGCCTTGTGGGGTCTACACGAATCGCTTTTTGAGAATGATACGCTGTGAAATGCAGAGGTTGAAGCAAACTGAAGATTTGGTACGTTTGGGCTTGAAAAAGGCATTTGTAAGCCCACGTGGCTTGTCTTCCCCATCGAAACTGCCGGTGCCAAGTGAAGCACGTACAACTTCTAGCTATCCTGGCCTTGAGGGTTTAGGGTTTAGGGTTTCGGTGTCTTTAGGGTTAGGATTTGGGCTTTGTGTGGCTTAAGAGTCCGTGTTTGGGGTTTTTAGGTTTAGAGTTTAGTGTTTGGGGGCTTAGGATTTGGGATTTGCAAGCGCTAGGACTAAGGGTTTGGGCTTAAGTTTTGGACTTAGCGTTTTGGGCTTAAGGGTCTCGGATTTGTGGTTTAGCATTTAGTGCTTTGGGCTTGGGATTTAGGAAGGATTGCGTGTAGGGCTGTGCCTTGCGGTTCAGGGTGTCTAGGGTTTAGGGCTTAGGGTTGAGGATTTGGGTTTTAGTGGGCTTCTTGCTTCGGGTGCCAATCTGGGCCACCACGCCGCATGGCCCCAAACTCTTCGTTCTTCTCCTGGCGAAACCAGCCCACTTGAGGCTCACAGTTCATGGGGCAGCTGAGGTAGTTTCTTTTGGTTCAGGGCTTGGGAGATCCCTCAAGCCTCATCCCCAAACCTTCAACCCTAAACGCTAAACTGGTCTTGGGGACCTATGGGACATGCGGCAGTTGATCGAAGGTTCCCTGACTTTCGCTTCGACCATCTTTAGGCCCAAGGCATGGGTGGCGATACCTTATAGCGTAAGAGTTTTGTGTACATCTAGCAACATATACTAGAGATAACCAAGAGGAAGAACATACCCACATGCCCCTGATATACCTTCCATACCCCTTATATACCCTATAGAACCCAAGGCACAGGGTTCAGGGTTAAGGCTTAGGGTTTAGTAAAGTATCAACCTTCAACTCCTCTACCCTGAATCCCTCAACTCTACTACCCGAAAACCCTGAGCCCTACAATCCTCATCATAAGCCCTCTCCGCGCCCTATGAACCCCGAAAGGCCAAACCCCCCTACACCGCGTTAACCTCATAAACTGGCCCATAAACCTCTAAAAGCCCTGAATCCTCTACACCTTCGCCTGCCCCCGACCTACAGTCAAGTGGGAATCACCCTTTCATCACTAGGCATGAACCAGAGAAACCTGTAGGCAATCAGAGTGCCAGGTACCCCAAGCCCAAATACCTTTCTTTGGACCCCCGAAACCCTCTAACCCACAAAACATCAGGGATTTTTGGTCTGCAACCTTGAACCCTAAACACCAAAAATCCCAAAACCCACAACCCCAAAACCCCAAATCCTCAACCCTCAACCCTAAACCCTCAACCCTAAACCCTAAACCCTAAACCCCAAACCCTTCTAAACCCGAAACAAACCCTAAAGCCCTAAAGCCCTCAACCCTAAACAGATAAAAATAAAAATGAAAAAACAAAAGACTCGTAAACCCTAAACCCTAAACCCCAAACCCTAAACCCTAAACCCTAAACCCTAAACAGAAAAAAAAAAAAAAAAAAGATTCCGGAGCCGCCTTGTCCCTGCCGTACACGGCGTCGCCCAAGATTCGGGCGGCCCGGTCTGGCAAGGCCTCTCCCGGGTTTAGGGTTAGGGTTTAGGGTTCAGGGTTCAGGGTTCAGGGTTTAGGGTTTAGGGTTTAGGGTTTAGGGCTTAGGGTTGAGAAGGGCCTTATGAGGGTTCAACCCGAAACCCTAAACCCTCAACCCTAAACCCTAAACAGGTTTTGCATTTATCACGTTCGAGGTTCAGAGGAGGGGGGGGGGCCCGAAACCCCAAAGAGTTCCCCTGGACCCAGAGTTCCCCAACCAGTTCGCCAGAATGCCCCTAACCCTAAACCCTAGACCCAAAATCCTAAATCTGAACCCTCAAACCCTAAACCCTAAAAGCCCTAGACCCGAAGTCCTAAACCCTTTAAGAGCCCCCCCAAAACCCTGACGGGTTGCTTTGGGACCATGGAGTTTGGGGACCTCTGGCTTGCGGGCTGTGTTCCCTAGGGCGCTTGGGCTTGGGATTTAGGGCTTGCTGTGATCTGGCGCGGGAACTGCAAAGGTAGCCTAACATGCGAAAGGCAGCTTTGGCCCGATTGTGTAGGGCACGCTTCTCCCTGCCCCTAACGTTTTAGATATATTGTATTTGTATTTACTGATTTGTATACGTGTGTATATGAGCCCTACCGAAATTTAAAAAGTGCTTTTTGGGGTACGTAGCTTGTTTCTATGGGAATACTTTTGGTAGCCTAAACCCTAAACCCTAAACCCTAAACCCTAAACCCTAAACCCCAAACCCCGAAAGCAGACGGACGTTTGGGAGATTGACTCAGAGGCCTTGAAGACATTCTCCGAGTTCGACGCCTCCGTCCGGATGGCCTGTGCCGAGCAGAAAGATCCCCGAACCTTACCGTTGGGTAGCAGGGAACCCTATACATAATCCCTTAAAGGGTGTGTAAATATACATATATATATATATAATCTCTTTAAAGGTATATATATATACACACATATATGTATGTATAAAATCCCTTAAAGGGTATGGACATATAATCGCTTAAAGGGTGTATATGAAAAAAATATATATAGAAGTATATATATATAGATATAGATAATCCCTTGAAGGGTATATATCGGGGGATATGGGGTACCTCATTCCCTTATACTCCCTACTAACCAGCAGTAAGCTAACCCACCGGCATTTGTGTAGGGTTTTGGGGGTTCAGTGCTGCCACACGCGCTATCGACACTGCAAGGCCTGACACTAGGGGATTGGGTACATCTGCTTTACAGTTCTATGGGGACACAGGAGCTGGATATAAGTAAGGTGTTCAGGAGGTAGCGCGGGCAGGGCTCCAGTAACCAGTAGAGGTCCCCCTGTTTGGGCAGCTATGTGGGTCGGGAGCGTGGGGTGGGCGTGGTTCATGGACGGCACTGGCAGCACAGAGTTTGTCCAGGAGGGATGGCGCAGGACATCAACAGCCAAAACCCTGGAAAATAAGCCACTAAACAGATCCGCTTGCGCCGCCTTTCCCTCGTCCAACTTCACAATGCACGGCCTTAACACACGAGAAATCTTGTTGTACCGACAGTATCCCCTTACAATAGGGTTCGGGTTTAGGTCAAGGGCTTCGGTTCTGGAGCGGAGGATTTCCGAGACCTATACCCCCGACCCCAACCAATTTCCACGGCCACCACAGCACCCACCCCACCTTTTGGGAACAATGGGCGGGGGTGGGCACCAGCCCCTCCCCCCCACCCCCAAACCACAAGTAGTTGAGAACCATCGGATTTCCGCCGAGCAAGGGTTACCTTTTTGGGTCGTTTTCATATACTTGAGGGTACACAGGATCCGGATTTTTGGGGAACACGGACCGGCTTTTTTCGAGCCCTCACGCTCGTTTCACACCCTCGACTCTGGCCTTTAACGAGCTGCATCTGGCTTCATCTTGGGCATGTTCAGCGGGGGCAGTATAGGGTCTCCCGAAACCCGAAACCCTAAACCCGAAACCCTAAACCCTAAACCCGAAACCCTAAACCCCAAACCCGAAACCCTAAACCCTAAACCCGAAACCCTAAACGCCAAACCCGAAACCCTAAACCCTAAACCCGAAACCCTAAACCCTAAACCCGAAACCCTAAACCCTAAACCCGAAACCCTAAACCCTAAATCCCACAACCCTCACTCTCAGTCCGCGACTCGCCAGGGCGGCCATCGGCTTCGAAGGGCTGCACCTGAGAAAGTGTGGGGGGCGGGGGGGAGGGGGTCAGAGCTATTTAGGGTTTAGGGTTTAGGGTTTCGGGTTTAGGGTTTAGGGTTTAGGCTTCGGGTTTCGAGGGGGGTAGTGGAGGCTATGGCTTGCTTTGCGGTTTAGGGCTTGAGCGTCGGGTTGCGCAGGGCTCCAGGCAGGCGTGAACTTACCTGACATCCCTAAACCTCATCGGAACTTTGAGGCGGCAGCAAGACACAGCTTCCCCAAGTTGGTGCCCCCAGTTGAAGCCGAAGCTAGTTTTCTGGGTCTGAGATGCGTTTGGAAGCTTAGGGTTCAGGGTGAAAGTTATCTGGAAAGTAACTCCTGGCCAATGACACCTCACCTTTGTATGTGGGGGGGGGGCCAACTCCTCGCACAAGACGCTACATCCTGAGCCCCCAGATCTACCTGACAGATCCTCGACCACAGAAGCTGGAAACCTTGCACTGCCCTGCGCCCTGTGGGGCGCACCCGGATGACCAAGGACCCACTGAAGCCGCCAGTGAGCTTCTGGGCCTGCTGTCGCGTTCCAGCTGATGGTTGGGGCTCGGGGGCTCTGATGAACCCTAAACCCGAAACCCCAAACCCTAAACCCTAAACCCTAATCCTGCTCTGATGTGCTCACATTGAAACGGCCTAGGTGCCCACCGGGTTTGCAATGTCGGGAAATACACCCCCGCCCTTTTCCAAAAATGCTGTGGAGGACCTTGGCCCCTTTTTGAACTTGACATAGGATCCCATGCAAGCCCCAAACCTAAACCCTACACCCCCAAGCCACCAAAACCGCCCTGGAACCCCCAAAAAAGCCCAACATCGAACAACCTCCTGGGATGTGCCGGAACCCCAAACCTCAAAACCCCAAACCCCCACCCCAAAACCTAAACCCTAAACCCTAAACCCCAAACCCTAAACCCTGGAAACCGTGTAGGGAAGGTCTCATGGCGCGGCCTCGAAGACCTCAAACATCTGCAAAAGCAGCCTCCAAGGCTTCTTGTTCAGGCTTTGGTTGCTTTAGGCCGTGGGGGATGTCTAGGAGGGCTTAAGGCTTAGGCTTAGGGCGTAGGGCTTCGGGCTTCGGGCTTCGGGCATAGGGCTTCGGGCTTAGGACTTAGGACTTAGGATTTAGGGTTTGGGGTCCACGGTGAGTCTAGAGTAGCATTGCTGTTACTACGGCTCTCAAGGTTCTCGTGCTCCTCAGTTTCCGACTGCCAGGCGGCTTTGCAGGGTCGTATCTTGTTGTGTTTCTTGTTTTTTTTTGGGGGGGGGGGGGGGGGGAACCTTTTTGGCCTAAGGAATCCTGATAGGAAGACACCCCGAACTTGGAACGTCCTCCAGCTGCGTAAAACGCTGGAGGCTTTGGGTGCAGAAGGCTCAGAGGGCCCGGTTCAGAACACCAGCCTAAACCCTAGACCCTAAACCCTAAACCCTAAACCCTAAACCCTAAACCCTTAAACCCTAAACCTAAACCCTAAACCCTAAACCCTAAACCCCAACCCGAAACCCTAACCCCTAACCCCTAAACCCCTGTGCACAGAGGTCCCTCTGTCGCACACGGGCCTCTGGTAGATCTCCGCACGCGGGTGGTCTTTGAAGAGCTTCGCGCAGGTGACCGACACATCCTCACAGGGCTGCACACATCTTAACTGGGTTTAGGGTCTAGGGTTTAGGGTTTAGGGTTGAGGATTTCGGGTTAAGGGTTTAGGGTTTAGGGATTAGGGTTTACTCGGCGCTATCTCTGAGTCTGAGCAACTGAGCAGGGTTTAGGGTTTAGGGTTTAGGGTTTCTCTACTCCCCTTAGAACCTTAATGTGTTTTTATATCCTCTCGGGTTTTACATAAACAACAATGAGAAATAATTCCCAAGGGGGATATAGTTAAGGTAGGATCTTGGGTGCAGCCCTGGAGTAGGAGCCGGGCGAAAAAGTTGTCGTGGAGTACTGAGAGCCTGTAACATGTCTGAGCCACCTTCCACCTCTAAACAAAATCACAATGCTGCCCAAGCATCCGCCACAAGCCTGTATTTATCGCTGTTCTGATCTACTCTGGGTTTATTCGTGCTAGCTCCCCACCACTGTCGCTTTCTCTGAGATTCAGCTTGTCATCGGCAACGCAGCCACACATGGCACCCTACGTCCCAAACAGGACTCCTTGTTAAAACGGACGTGAAGCCGAGACCAGTCACCTGCTGAACAGGAGGATCAAGGAGCATGGCGGAGTCGAGCCCCGGTCGCAAAGGAAGGCCGCCAGAAATCGCTCTCAACGTCCTCGACGGGGGCCCTTGTAGTGGCGGATGCCGTGGCCTTGGCCTTCCTGCTCCATGCAACAGACCGTCCCGTCTGCGAGGCTAGGCTCGCCAAATGTTACGCGGCCGTCGGCACGGCAGCCCTACAACCTCTGAGAATATTCCTGAACATGAACTTCAACCAAACAAAGGGAACATAAGAAATACCCCATGCTACCTCGAACCTCAGTTGGAGGGTTTGGATGCTTTGGGGTTTTAGGGGTTATGGTTTAGGCTTTGGGGGTTTAAGGTTTTGGTGTGTAGGGTTGAGGGAAAACCGGTCATCACCCAAAGAGCAAGCCCAACACTTCAGGGCTCAGGGGATTCTAGGGATTCAGGGACTTAGGAGGGTTTCGGGCTCAGGACGAGGGGTGCCAACTCGATATCCTCAAGGAAGAGGGCACCCGAAACCCGAAGCCGTAAGCCCTGAAGAACCCTAAACCCTAAACCCCTAAACCCTAAACCCCAAACCCTAGACCCTAGACCCAGGGCCCGTCCTGAATCTGCGTCGCGCCTTTCTTCCCAGAGCTGGTAGCGTTGGCCTGTTCGATTCGGGAAAACCTTCCGTTAGGCTAGGTTGGTTGAGGGTTTAGGGTTTAAGGTTCAGGGTTCAGGGTTTTGGGTTTAAAGGTTTAGTCTCCACCCCCCCCCCAACCCGAAACCCTGGCAGGAAGCTCCGGGTTTGGGGGGCGAGTCTGAATTCGAGGCCTGGGTAATTGGGCGGGGGAGTTCAGGGCTGTCAACCCTAAACCCTAAACCCTAAACCCTAAACCCTAAACCCTAAACCCTAAACCGATCGTTTCTTTCGGCCTTCCAGGTCTTGAGTCGCTCCCAGCGCCAGAAGCGGGTGATCGAGGTGCCATCGGGCTCCTGTGAAGGTTTAGGGTTCAGGGTTGAGGGTTTAGGGTTTAGGGTTTAGGGTTTAGGGTTTAGGGCTTTGGGGGAAATTCGGGGCTTAGGTAGGATAAGGAAGTGGGGGTTTTGGGGCTTCATTAGGGGGATTCTGGGCTTGGGGGCGTGGGTTTGGGTTGAGGGGTTGACTATGTTGAGGCTTTCGCTAGCTAGAGGGGTTTGAGGGTTGAGAGTTTAGAGCTCCCCGAATTCTACGCAACAGTGTGAGAATAAAGGTAAGTAGTGGGAGTTACAAAAAGATCGCCCATGGCTTCTAAACACGGGGCTTAGGGCTGATCCCACACTCCGGGATTGAATCCTAAATACACCCTGAGTCTTAGAACTCCTCACCAAGCAGCTCCGCACGACGCCCCCCCCCCCGGGCAGGAATGAAAAGAACGCGGCAACAACCGGCAAAAAAAGGTCTAAAGCATCATGACCCTGAAAAAAAATTGAGACTAGGCTTAGGCTCCGGGTTACTCAACCATAGAACGCAGAACCCCACCCCCGCAACCTCCTGAGAAGGGTGCGCCTTGACCGTGGTGAAGAAAGGCTTCCCGCCGGGAAGCCCAATCTTCGAGAAGAGCTCCTTTGCGGGGTTTTGGGGGGGGCTTTAAGTCTAAACCCTAAAGTGGGGTTTAGGGTTCAGGGTTTAGGGTTTAGGGTTTGGGGTTTAGGGTTTAGGGTTTAGGGTTTAAGGTCTAGGGTCTAGGGTTTAGGGTTTAGGGTTTAGGGTTTAGGGTTTAGGGTTTGGGTTCAGGGCTTACGTCGGGTTTAGGGTATGATGGAGGGGAAGGGTGGTCCAGAGTCCTCTAACGCAGCTTCGGGTTTGGGGGCCATCGCTGCAGTTCTCGCAGGCCAACTGTCCTTGTACAGCTCCACGTCCTTGTCTGGAATGTTGAAGGTCCCCTGGCTCTGCCTGGTTGGGCTCACCGGCTCAAGGCCCTAAATAGGTTTAGGGTTTAGGGTTTGGGGTTAGGGTTTAGGGTTTACGGTTTAGGGTTTAGGGTTAAGGGTTAAGGGTTAAGGGGGTTAAGGGTTAAGGGTTTAGGGTTTAGGGTTTAGGGTTTAGGGTTTAGGGTTTAGGGTTTAGGGTTTAGGGTTTAGGGTTTAGGGTTTAGGGTTTAGGGTTTAAGATTTAGGGTTTAGGGTTTAGGGTTTAGGGTTTAGGGTTTAGGGTTTAGGGTTTAGGGCTTAGGGTTTAGGGTTTAGGGTTTAGGGTTTAGGGTTTAGGGTTTAGCCCTGAAGCCCACTGCAAGAGCCCATGCCTCAACACCAAACCCCACCCAACCACACAGTCCCCACACTCTCAGCCCGCAAACACCTCAAGCCTCAAAGCCGCAAACCCCAAGGGTGTAGGGTTTGGGGTTTGGGGTTTAGGGTTTGGGGTTTAAGGTTTAGGGTTTAGGGTTTAGGGTTTCGGGTCTGGGGAATTCAGGGTTCCCGAAACGAACCCCAAGACAGTTGCGGAGGTTCTTCTGCCGGGCAAAGGGGGAAAAAAGCATGCTGCAAGAGATCCAGGGACTTTGGGGCCTCTTGGGGCTTTAGGGGTTACACATGGAGTCGACACTTCCGGAAAACGTCCTCCCAAAGCCCACGAAACTGCTGCCAGGCGGCTGGACGACGCAGGGAATGGGGTAGGCCTCTGCGTCGGGGTGTGCGGATTTGAGGCGTTAACGCAAACCTTAACACCCCTGAACCCATGTGGAGAACGGGGGGGGGGGGGGGGCGTCTTTGAAGCGGCCACAGCAAGTCGGAAGGCCAGAATCCCAAAACCCCCTCAAACCCCCCCCCCCCTCCGCAGTCCATCCAAAGGCCTGGCTATATCCGTAGACATCTGCCTTGTTCCTGAGTTCCCCTAAACCCTAAACCCCAAACCCCAAACCCCAAGACCTAAACCCCAAACCCTCAACCCCAAAGCCTAAACCCCCTTCTGCTTGTTGGGGGGTTCCCACCCTGTCTTCTTGGCCCTGAACCCCTAAACCCTAAACCCAAAGCCCAAAACCCAAAACCCTAAACCCTAAACCCAATGCCCTAAACCCTAAACCCTAACCCCTAAGCCCAAAACCCTAAACCCTAAATCCTCAGCAAACCCCGAACTCGACGCCTCGGTCAGGAGGCTCACCTGCGGGGCCGCGTCGGCCACGTAGACTGGCATCTCCTGGGGGCTTAAGATTTAAGACTTAAGATTTAAAGTTTCAAGTTTCGGGTTTAGGGTTTAGGGTTTCGGGTCAGGGTTTGGGGTTTAGTGTGTGGGGGCTCAGGGCATTAGGGGGCTTATAGGGTCCTCGATGAAATCTCCACCTTGGCTGGTCTGGGTGCTATAGGGATTACGGCTCCTAGCATGGTACGCAAGGCTTCGGCTTCTTCCGGCCTGGACCCTGGACCCTCTAAACGCTGAAACCCTGAAACCCTAAACCCCTAAACCCTAAACCCTAAACCCCAAACCCAAAACCCTAAACCCCAAACCCTAAACCCTAAACCCCAAACTGGACACCCGAAGAGCCTGGGGCCCTCCGCCTCCCCCCAGGCTTCGGCACGCTAGGTAAGGGCGTCCTCGGTCTCGATGAACTTGGAGATGTCGGCCTGCCGGAGCTCTAGTATTTTTGGGCGCTTCTTCTTTTCTTGCTTTTTTAGGGTTCAGGGTTTAGGGTTTAGGGTTGAGGGTTGAGGGTTTAGGGTTTAGGGTTTAGGGTTTAGGGTTTAGGGTTTAGGGTTTAGGGTTTAGGGTTTAGGGTTTAGGGTTTAGGGTTTAGGGTTTAGGGTTTAGGGTTTAGGGTTTAGGGTTTAGGGTTTGAGTTGAAGGTTCTGTGCTCTGGGTTTAGCTTAAGGATTGGGCGTAGGGTTTAGGGTTTAGGTTGTTTTGGGGAGGGGGGAGGGGGGGGGGAGGGGGGGGGGGGTCGAAGAGGTTTTCGGAGTTGGGGGATGCTAGAGGGGTTTGGAGGCTTTTGGGGTTCTGGGGGATTGGGGCCTAGCTTATTTAGGGGGGATAGGCGAAGCACTCGGAACTGACAGGAAGAAATAACAAACCAGGTACAGACGCAAGCATGAAGAACGGAAGGGGAGGAAGATAAAGTTAAATACAGCAGAAGGAATGGGAACGAAGAAAGGAAGCACGAGAGAAGCAGAGATAGCAAAGGACGTTCGAAGAACGGACAGAAAGAGAACATACACTAGAATTGCAGAGGTTCCAATCCCTCATTTTTTGGACAAACCCCCCTCTAGACTCCAAAGCCTCTATGACTCTATGAACCCGGCACTAAACCCTAAACCCTCAACCCCTGAACACTAGGCGCTCTTGCACGAGTGCCTGGAGGCCCGTCTCGAACCACTTGTGGAGCACTTCCTGCATCGAAGTCTCCTGGCTTGCTGGTCAGGTGTAACGGTGGTATAAAGGGGGGGTATAAGGGGGGCATAAGAGCTGACAAGTTTTGTAAACAAAGTTCTCCGGCTTGGAGCTTGTTGAGATACCCTTCTTGTTACACACCTGTTGGGGGGGGGGGGGGGGTTCCCCCAAAAAACCGGGATACCCCTGAGATAGCTCCAAAACGGCACGCAGAATCGCAAGCCTGAACCCCAGACCTAGACCCCAAACCCTTTGAAGCCTACATCTACCCGACATCTGAAACCCTAAACCCTAAACCCTTTGAACCCTTTGAACCCTTTCAAACCCTAAAAATACACGAAGCCTAGACCCTAGACCCTAAAAGCTCGAAGCCCTCTAAGTTTCCCCCCACCCCCCCTGGGCCTTCAACCCCATGTGCACCCCAGGGAGGTGGTTCTTCGTCTGGATTCGGTTGTTCACGCCATCCTGCTCGTAGGACTCCACCTGAAAGGGATAAGTGAGGGGGGTCTTTTGGGTTTAGGGCTTAGGGTTTGGGGGGGTTTCGGCCTGAGTTTGGAGGGGAGGACCTTCGAATCAAAGCCCCACTGAGAGCTCTCCAAGCCTGAAATCTCCCAAACCCTAGTCACGCCCCGAGTGGCCAGAAGCATGTCGTTGAACTTGATGAGCAGGTACACCTGGATGTTGGGCAGGGGGTGGAGGTGTACTGGGATGTTTCCTAACATAGGTTCAGGGTTGGGGGGAGCCGAAAGCGGGGGCCGAAGCACACGCCGCGCGCCACGAAGCACGCTGCCACGCTACCAGGCTTGCTGCCAGGCAACAACATCAAGGACGCGGACGATGCGGCCGGCGTCATTCGTCTGAACGCCAGGATTCTGGGTTTAGGGGTTTTGGGGTTCAGGGTTTGAAGGGTTTAGGGTTTTTAGGGTTTTTAGGGTTTTTAGGGTTTTTAGGGTTTTTAGGGTTTTTAGGGTTTTTAGGGTTTTTAGGGCGTTTAGGGCTTTTAGGGTTTTTAGGGCTTTTAGGGTTTTTAGGGTTGACTGAGGATTCGTGGCGTCGGAATGTCAAGTCTGGGATTCAGGTTCATGGGGTTTACAGGGCTTGCAGGGTGTCTTGAGGGTTTTGCAAGGTTCTGCAGGTCTTATCGGGTTTATAGGGTTTAAGTGGGGTTGTAGGGTTTTATAGGGTTTCTAGGGTTTATAGGGTCTCTAATTGGGTTCATAGGGCCGAGGCTGGGGGTTTTCGTGCGTTTTAGAAGTCAGGTCTGTGCTCTGAACCGGGGGGACGAGCTAAACCCAAAACCCAATACCCAAAACCCAAAACCCTAAACCCTAAACCCCGACCGGCCTGGAGCCAGCACGTGCCGTTCTCCAGCTCGTGGTAAAGGTTGGCGATGCTCTTGAAGCGGCCTCCCACCCCAAGCCCTAACCCCTAAGCCCCTTTAGGGTTTAGGGTTTAGGCTTTAGGGTTTCGGGTTTCGGGTTTCGGGCTTAGGTTCCTAGACCCTGGGCCCCAAATCCTACAACTCCAGAACCCAAAACCCTAAACCCTCGGCGCCCTGCTACATCCCTAAACCCCTTCTTCGCCCCACCTCACTGCCACAAGGCGTTCAGACTGAGGGCTTCCCGGGCTTTAAGGACTTGAGGGTTTGGGGGTGCATGGCTGAAGGCTTCAGGGCTTCAGAGGGTCTGTGGGTGGTTGTCAAAATGATGGTCTCTTTTGGGATCCCTAATACAATACGGCACCTACTATTTAGGGTACCCCAAAAGGGATCATCATTTTGACAACCACCGTTGCGGATCTGGCTTCCCCATGGCCTGTGCCAAACGCACGGACATCCACTCCATCCTTGTGCAAGATGTTGTGTAGATCATTCCTCTGCTGTGGAACTTGGCAGTGGCTTTGGGGATTCCGGTCTTGGACCCTAAACCCTAAACCCTAAGCCAGTGTTCCCTGTTCTCTCATGAAACACCTGCACATGCTGTTGCACCCTACGTAGAGGAAAGCATTTCCTATGAACAGATAAAGGAATTGAAGGCTTTCCTCTGAAACACTGAAACATTCAGACATATTACTAAAGGACTGCCGCGCGAAGGGCTTCCCTGTAAACACGCACGGAAGAAACATCCACCCGACCCGAACTGGGAAGGGGGGGTTCAAGCTCGTTTTCTCCCACTACCGTGGGTTCAGTGCAGCTCTGCATCGAGGAAAAGAGAACAGGCGAGACGTTATCTTCAATGATTCTGACTCTTGCGGCCTGCAGTTGGCATGTCGGACCTCCCTAACTAATCCCTAAATTTGTGGATTTCGGACCTTCAGCCATCGGCAGTGGCTATGGTGGCCAAGGCACTCGTCGCGGACCTGTATCCGCCGCTGCTGCTTCATCCTCGCGCATTTAGGTTTAGGAGCGCTCGATGTGAGAGGTGAAGGTTGCTAATAACTTCATGAAGTGCTCCCACCTAAAATAGGGGATAGGATTAGGAGGACCCTTGGGCACATAGACCCTCTGAATAAGGTCCCTGTTTAAGAGAGCCAGAAGAGAGTTAAGAAGGGTTCCCGTTTAAGGGTCCCCCTTATCCAGTACCTAGGATAAACCCGACATGCGTCCTTCGGTTTTCCTCCATCAAATGCTTCAGCTGCTGACCTCGGCCGTTGCCAGAACTGATATTGCCCTGCGCGCTTGGCACATGACCGCCTTCCTTCCGCCACCCGGATTCTGAGGCAACCGGCCCATGTTCGTCAGCTGCTTCTCTAGCTGTGAATTCTCCTGCAGGGGTTTGCATCACGAGCTCTGGACCCCAACGCCCTCAAGTCGTGGCAAGAAAAAGCTGGAAGGCATGGGGCCTAGGACCTGCAGGATTTCATGTCAGGCTCGCCGGCCTCTGCTCCCCTCGTCAGAACAGGTGCTTCAACCTCGAGACCTCCTAAACCCCCCAACCCCCCAAACCCCCCCCAAACCCCCCCCCAAACCCCCCCCCAAACCCCCTAAACCCTAAACCCTAAACCCCAAACCCCGGGCATGAGCCGTCCTCCTCCTTCTCCGCGAGCTGCTTCCTGGGCGTGGCAAAAGTGGTTTGGGGGGCTTTGGCCCCCCCCTGCAAGGCCGAGAGGGTTTAGGGTTTAGGGTTTTGGGTTTCGGGTTTCGGGTTTAGGATTTAGGGTTTTGGGTGTGTCGGGGAGGGCACGCGCTCGGGTGTGAAACAACCCGGGCCGCGCGCTCGCGTTGACCGTCAACCCACCCGGCCACCCAAACTATGCTCGTTTAGGGTTTAGGGTTTATTGAATTTGTTTTCTTGTGCGCAGACGCGTCCTTCTATGTTTTTAAAGTTTGCGGTGCTAGGGTTTAGGCTGGAGTTGGGGGTAGCCTCGGCCCTTTTCGGGCCTTCGGCGTGTCAGGGCCCGTAGGGGCCCTTCTGTACTTGAAGGTCAGGTGCAGGGCTAGACCAAGCTGAGGTTGTGGCACCTTCCTGGCCCCTGACCGGGAGGCGCTCCTGCCTGGCAAGCCCAAGCAACCGGCCTGCCGGCCCCCCTCCAGGAATCCAGCCACCAGGGGCACAGGGCCCGGCGGGGGGGGGGGGGGGGGGGGGGCCAGGCAAACCCTGAACCCAAAACAAAGCAAAAGCCGACGATTTGGGGTTATACTTTAGCTACGCTAAAGGTGGTCTGGGTACGGCCATCCCTTGTTCGAGTACTGACGTTGTCATAAGGAAGGCCAATATCCAGGACAGACGGTGAGGCTTAACCCTCACCTTTCCGTCTCTCTTTTCGTATGGGCGCTCGGGCTGTAAGGCCCTCGGCCGAGCGTTCGGGGTCTGTCGCTCGACGGAAGCGACCCCTCACTTAGTTTAGGGTTTAGGGTGAGGGTTGGGCTCCACAGGTGTCAGAATCACAGATTTGGGGGGATCAAACACGAACCCCCCGCGGCTGACTGAGGACAGAGCTGAAGGCCGGTTTCGGGTCGAGGGTTTCTGCTGCTTAGGGCTTACGGTTTAAGGTTTAGGGTTTAGGGTTTAGGGTTTAGGGTTTAGGGTTTAGGGTTTAAGGTTTAGTTTTTAGGGTTCAGGGTGGCTTTGGGGCAGAAGTGCCTGAGAGGCTTAGGGCTTGGGACAGACAAGTTCAGGGTCTCACGACTGCGGCCTCCATGATCCAGGGCTGCACAACGGGCTGTGGGCTTCAAGGGTCCGGGTTCGGGTTTAGAATTTAGGGCTTAGGGTTTAGGATTTAGGGTCTAGGGTTTAGGGTTTAGGGTCTAGGGTTTAGGGTTTAGGGTTTCGGGTTAGGGTTTAGGGTTTAGGGTTCAGGGTTCAGGGTTTAGGGTTTAGGGTTTGGGGTTTGGGGTTTAGGGTCCAGGGTCTAGGGTTGTGTTTAGGGTTTAGGGTTTAGGGTTTTAGGGGGTTTTAGGGCTTTAGGGTATCGTGTCATCGAGATTGCTGGCCCAGGCGCTGCACGCCAATCAGCGAGGAGCCCACATCCATGAGCTCGCCCTCAGGCATGAACCGCTCCCCGCAGTACAGCCACCACACCCCTAAAAGCCCTAAAAACCCCTAAAGCCCTTAAAACCCCTAAAGCCGTTTGTCCCTAAAAACCCTAAAGCCCTAGAAGCCCTAAAGCCCTAAAAACCCTAAACCCTAGATTCTAAACCCTAAACCTCAAAGCCCTAAACCCTAAAAATCCTCAACTTATCGAGGTCCTGAACTGAATACGGCCCCGCTCTGAGACCCGGAAACGAGTTTAGATGAGTAACCCTAAACCCTAAACCCTAAACCCTAAACCCTAAACCCTAAACCCTAAACCCTAGGGCGGAGAGCTGAAGGGGTTCTGAACCCCTGCCATGCCCTCGAAAGAAAAACGCGCCTGCGTGTACAGTAGCTTCCGGAGAAAGTACTGGTCGTCCAGCATGGCCTGCGAGAGTGGCCACCCGGCCCCCCAAAAGAACCCCTCAAATCCCTACATGTCCCGACCCAAATCAACAAACTGAAGCCTACAAGGCTCCAGGCACTTGGGGAGCGACAGAGAGGGAGAGAGAGAGAGAGAGAGAGGGAGAGGGAGGGAGAGGGAGGGAGAGGGAGAGAGAAAGAGAGAGAGAGAGAGGGAGAGAGGGAGAGAGAGAGAGGGAGAGAGAGAGAGAGAGCGCGTGTTTTGGGGTTTAGGGTCTAGCCGGTTGAGGGCTTAGGGCTTAGGGCTCAGGGCTCAGGGCTCAGGGCTCAGGGCTCAGGGCTCAGGGCTCCGGGCTTGAGGCATGGTTTGGGCCTGGTAGGGTGAAAACGGGGCCCACACAGGGCCTATAAGGGGTTACAGAGATTTGTAGCGCTCACCCCTAAACCCTCAACCCTCAACCCTAAACCCTAAACCCTAAACCCTAAACCCTAAACCAACCCTAAAACCCTAAACCCACGGTCCCTCCACACAGCCCTCAGAAGAGACAGCCCTCAGAAGGGGAAATCGGCCCCCAGCATCTTCCTAAAGACTGCTACGACTCGGGGAGCATCCCCGCCCTCCCCTTTTCTGGGGGTTTCTGGCTCTGAAACAGCAAACCAGTGAGTTCATTTTGCAAGAATCGCACATCTCCACATTTACCTGCTGTGGCAACGCTGCCACTCTGCGAGCCTCCACTGGGTTCACCTTCACAAGGTGACCTGAGATCGTGGACCCACAAAACAGGACATCCGAGTGAGTTTGGGGGGCGCAGCGGAGGATGCACCCAACGACTAAACTCTGAACTGCCCGACGGCTTTCGCTGGCTTCTCATTTTGTTCGTGGAAGGAACAACGAACACACGAGTGGCAGGGACCCCAGCGCAAGTGGGCATCATGAGCACGCAGGAGGGAACAAGAGCGTAAGGCGAGCATCATGAGCACCTGCATGGCTGCATGCTGGGAACCCATGGTACAGCGATCAGCTGCGTGGCGGCATGGTAAAGTGCAGCTGCACATGGGACCCCCAGGCAAGCATCGTGAGCATCAGCTGCTTGGCAGCACGAGGCGAAGGCGAGCATCGGGAGCATACACTCCGCGGGATGCCCAGCACGAAGTGTGCCGGGCTTATTCATGCTTCAGGCTTATACAGCATAGAGCTTTATGCGGCTTCTGGCCTTGTAAGGTTTCCTGTGGTTTCCCGCATGGAGTGTATTTGGGCTGTTGATGTTCAGAGGGCTTTGGAGGCAGCGCCCAGTGCCCCAAACCGAGACGCTAAGCCCTAAACTACCCTAAACTCTAAACCCCAAACCCCTAAGCCCTAAACCCTAAACCCCAAACCCTAAACCCTAAACCCTATGCCGTCCAGCCGACGGTCCAAGGCTTGGCCGTCAGGTACGGGGTTTCCGTACTCGTCACGGCAGTCGACGATCCTGCGCAGCTTCTGGCTCCAAAAACTCAGGGTTTGGGGTTTGGGGTTTAGGGTTTAGGGTTTAGGGTTTAGGGTTTCGGGTCTAGGGTTCAACCCTCAACCCCAGACCCTGAACATTAAACCCTCGAAACCCCGCAACCAGAGCTCAGAACAACCCCGCCAAACCCTCAACCTTATGCCACCCATTGCCAGCCCGGAACCCCAAACCCTTGGGTAGGAATTCCTGAGTTTCTTGCCGGCTTTGTTACGGCGCGTTTTTGATAACAAATCGACTCCCTCCGAAGCGAGGCAGCAGAAGTTTCAATAAGAGATCACGTTGCGGGCGAGAGTCTCCGAGGTGGGGGGGCGGGGGAGTTAAGCGATGAACTCGTTTCAACTGCCCTCGGAGGGGGGGGGTAGGGAAAACGAGGCTAATTTTGGGATTCGGGGATTTGGACCCCGGGGAGGGGGGGGGGGGGGGCAACATGCAAGGCAAACCAGTCTTCAATGTCTCAATATAATTTCAGAGTCTGGAATCCAGATACTGGGTTGCCAAGTGCCTTCTAGCTTCAGACTCGAGTTTCCCAACTTGCAAGATGTCTTATCACACTCCTCGACCGACTAGAAAGCTTATTGGCTGTTGTGCAGAAACCCTAAACCCCAAACCCGAAGCCCTAAACCCTCGGTCCTTGCATCAAAGGGCTCGATGTTGTCATCGAAGAAAACCTGCGCGCTATCCTCGCAGAGAAGCGGAAGCCCGTTCAGGCATGGGCTTTTCCAGGGTAATGGTCAGGGTTTAAAGGTTTAGGAACTTAGGGGTGTAACCCTAAAACCCTTATCCGTAGAACCCTGAACCGCAGGGGTTTATAGAGTTTGGGTTCAGCGGTTGAGGGAATTAGGAGCTGCAGGAGGTTGAGGGACCGGAAAGCCCTGACGACTCGAATATCTTTCGCAGTACCCTGAACCCCAAACCCAAACCCCAAACTCTCAACCCCAAACCCTAAACCCTAAACACGAAACCCTAAACCCCAAACCCCAAACCCTAAACCCTAAACCCAAACCCTACAGCGGCGATCCTTCTTCTTCAGGAGGGTCATGAGCTTCCCCCCGGCAGCCTGGCAACAACCCCTTAAAGGGTATATATGAGGGGATATAGGGTGCCTGCCTAGCCAACAGTAAGGCAAAGGCTGGCCCATCATCTGGGGTCTGTACAGCGAATTTTCTCATGCATGGCTTTGAGTTCAGGGATTTGGGTATCTGTTTATAGCTATTTGGGTACCGGGCTTAGGGTTTACGGTTTAGTGTTTAGGGTGGGGCTGTAGCATCTACAAGTAGGGGCATCGATTGGCCATGCTCACTAGCCTCGGCTTCAGCCTTCTAGAAAGCCTTCTGGAAGGTTGCTGTTTGTTTGTTTTTCTTTGAAGGGGGGGGATTCTTCTGGGAGGCTTTTAACCCCCCCGTATCTGATTCATCCTCGACCAGCAAGGCACCATCCGTAGGGTGAAGGTTTTGGTAGGGTTTGGGGGTCAGGGCTTCGGGCGGAAGAACATCCCCCTATTCCCACGCCCTAAACCCTAAACCCTAAACCCCGCCTTCTCATTCTGGAACTGCCACCAGGCCCAATCGTCTTTGATGGCCGCGGTGGCCTAAATCGGCCGCAGGGTCTGATTGCAATGATGTGTGGTCGGTTTAGGGTTTAGGGTTTAGGGTTTAGGGTTTATAGGGTTTAGGGTTTAGGGTATCACTCAAGGTTTACAGGGCTTGTAGGGTTTGTGCGGTTTGCAGGGCATGTTGGGTCTATATACAGGCCTTGCAGGGTTTATGGAATTTGCAGGGTTTAGGCTGATAGACGTGCCGGGCAGCGCTTCTCAATGCCTTGCAATCACTTTGGATTCAGGGCTTGGACTGCGGGGAAACGCGAAGGAGCTCTCCAGGGGGTTTATTGTTCGAAGCCCAAAAGGATTAAGGGTTTAGGGTTGAGGGCTTAGGGTCCTGAAAGTTCCCCCGCCAACCCTAACTTCAGCCACTTCAACCCCACAAACTCCAAGCCCAGACGCTCTGTCCCATGAACTCCCCAAATTTTCTGATATTTTTTTACATATTTACTTGTTTATGTATGCGACGTATATATATATATATGTATATATGTATATTAAAACCACCATGAAAAGTAACAATAACAATGACAAGAAATTGAACCAATGCTACCAGAAAATCCCTCAACCCCTCAACAGAGCCCTCCCTCCCTGAAACTCCCTCATCCCTCAACCCCAACACCAGAAACCCAGAGCCTGTAAGGACTAGGGCTTTGGGTTTGGGGTTTAGGGTCTGGAGTTTACAGTTTGGGGTTTGGGGTTTGGGGTTTAGGATTTAGGGCTGAGGGTTTAGGATAGCGGTTGAGGGTTTAGGGTTTAGGGTCTAGGGTTTAGGGTTTAGGGTCTAGGGTTTAGGGTTTAGGGCTTAGGGTTTAGGGCTTAGGGTTTAGGGTTCAGGGTTTAGGGTTCAGGGTTCAGGGTTCAGGGTTTAGGGTTTAGGGTTTAGGGTTTAGGGCTTAGGGTTTAGGATTTAGGGCCTCGCCTGCTTGGCCAAGTGGTCGTTGCTAAACTTGCGGAATCCAGACATGCCTTCCACGACCTCGGGAGGGCTTCGGGTTTGGGGCTTAGGGTTTAGGGTTTGGGGTTTAGGGTTTAGGGTTTAGGGTTTAGGGTTTAGGGTTTAGGGTTTAGGGTTTAGGGTTCGGGTTCGGGTTTGGGGTTTAGGGCTTAGGGCTTAGGGTAGGTTTTAGGGTTGGGGTTTGGGGTAAGGGTTTACGGCATCGGGCTTTTTTTGGTTGCAGCACCGGGTTTCAGGGGCAGGCGGGAGGTCGATCAGAGTCCATGGGGAGGGAGGGGTGGGCGCTAGGGCGGGTTCAGATCTCCGATTCTAGTACTTCGTCCGGGGTTCAGGGTTTTGAGGTTGCGGGCTTTGGTGTAGAAAGTTTGGGGTTTGAAGAAAAATTGCAATGGCTTAGGGCCAGAGTAATGTGCAGCTTTTCGGCTTGAGGCATACCGTGTATAATGCCCACGACGAATGTCAGGGGCTAGCTCTAGGTAGTTGCTGCAGTGCACCCGCAACCCTGGACCCCTTCAGCCCCCCAACGCCCAAACCCCAAACCCCCTACACCCCAAACCCGAAAGCCTAAACGCAGTGTGCATGAGATCTTCCGGAAGTAGAAGCCCGGTACCCTAAAGCCTAAACCCCAAACCCTAAACCCCAAACCCTAAACCCCAAACCCTAAACCCCAAATCCTAAACCCCAAATCCTAAACCCCAAACTCCAAAAACCTCGAAGCCCCCCCTTCCCCAAGCCTGATCTGAAGGCCGAGGGGCCTTGGCCTTGAGAGCCTGCTTGGACCAGGATTTGCCTAGGCTCCGGACTCAAAAGCGGGAGGTTTAGGGTTTAGGGTTTAGGGTTTAGGCTAGGGTTTAGGGTTTAGGGCTTAGGGTTTAGGGTTTAGGGTTTAGGGTTTTTGGGGGTTTAGGGTTTTTGGGGTTCGGGGTCTTTGGGGTTTAGGGTTTAGGGTTTGGGGCTTAGGATCCAGGGTTTCAGGGTTTAGGGTTTAGGGTTTTTGGGATTTAGGGTTTAGGGTTTAGGGTTGTTGGGGTATTAGGGGCATTTAGGGCCTTAACCCTGAGAGGGCTTGGGGGCCATCAACCCTACCCCCCTAAACCTGCCTTTGCCTAAGAGCCCCATACGGGGCTTCTGGCACCATAAGCCACAAGACACAGGGCTTTGGGTTGTCAAGCTACCCCAGAACCCTATCCTCAAGCCACCGAAGGCCCGAACCCTGTAAACCCTAAACCCGAAACCCTAAACCTTGCAGACCCGAACCCTAAACCCTGAAACCCTGAATCCCACCAAACCCTACCCTCAAACCCTGGAACCCCCTAAAACCCCTAGCCCTAAACCCTAAACCCCAAACCCTGAACCCCTAGCGGCCGGGTCACCGTTCCGAGTGTCGGATGTCGGCTTCGGCTTTGTTCGCGCCCACTCGTCCCAGGGGCTCTCCTTTTAGGGTTTAGGGTTTAGGGTTTTGGGTTGTGGGTTTAGGGTTTAAGTAGGGTGTAGGGGTAGGGTTTAGGTGTAGGGCTTGTTTGTGGACCGGGCCCCCCATTCCCTACACACCCCTCGACACCCCTGTAAGCCAGTTGGCCCGCAAGCATATGCATGCCGGCCGGCTGTTGAGGCGGGTTCTTTCGTGGTTGCCTAGGGTCGTCCTTTAGGGATTCAGAATTTGTGGATTCCGGCCGAGGGGAACCTTCTGAGGTTCTCGTTAAATTCTTAGATAACTAATTGTCTGTATGCGCGCATATATATATATATATGCTAATATGTCTGTTTCTTGTATATTACGTCGTCTTATTGCATATTATGAGTATTGACTTCTGTCATTAAGCTCCAGTTGTTTTCCCCACCCTGGCTTCTTTCGACTCTATTTCAGCTCAAGAGTCAGCCACCAGCAAAAAGAAACACACACAGAAAACCGGGTCTCCTGACACCCGTTACAACGATGCTCAAAAGCACAGCACTTTCCCCTCCCAGCCAAGAACAAATGCCGCGCCGGGCGACGTCGGGGCCGTTGGTGAAGGTATCTAAAAGCAACAGGGGCCCATGGCCGTCACCTCAGTCTGGCGTCTTGGGTTTCGGGAGCTTACGGCGGGGGTTGCTCAGAGATGTCATAGCTGGCTACAATGCTAGTTGAGGCCCCCTTGCGACTCTACTTTGTGCTTCCGAGTAGGAGGGTTGGGGAGGTTTGGGGGGATAGTTCAGAACCCTGCTTAAGTAGGAAATTCGGGAATCAGGGAATTAGGTATCCTATCTCCGTTCAGGGGAGCATGTGGATACCGAGTGCCCAAAGTTTCCGGCTAAGAGCCACGAAGTGACCCGAAGCCTGGACTCAAACTTCGCGAGCCTCTTCGAGGGTTGGGGTTCTGTCACCCCCCAGTTGGGGGGTCCGGCTTGGCACCTTGTAGGGTTCCCATGGAGCCCTACAAACTTCGGGGCGCCCGCACAGGAGTTCAGAGGCTTTCGGTACTGGGCTCTCTGAGCCGGGGTGCGGTACAGGGTGTGGATGGAGTGGATTCTCCGATCCGGCACACCCGGCACGCTGCCGTCCATCGGCCCGATGTCCTCGATCAGGGGCGAGAAGATCGGGTGCCGCAGCTCGCAAAACGCGTTCCTCAGCCCGAGGTCGCTGAGGCTTTAGGGCTTGGGCTTTAAGGCCTTTGAGGCCTTTAGGGCGTTGAGGGCGTGTCGAGAGACGATTTTTAGGGGGGGCTCAAAGGCTCAAAGGTATGGGGTTCTTTGTGTCGGGGGTTTAGGATTGTAGGGGAGACACCCGAACGAGCCAAGGGTCCACTCCTGCTGGATCTTCTCATGGTCGGCCCCAAATGACCGGAAAAGGATTGCAAAAGGCCTGGAAGGGCTCAGGGTGGACGGGTTGGGGAGTCAGGGAATTCAGGGTTTGTAGGGTTGGGGGAGTTTTCCACAGCTCCTAAAAGGGGAAATGGATGGATTTTCGGGAATCTGGTGTCTCCCTGGTATAACCCTTTGAGGGAGTCGACGGGGCACCGCACTCCGTACTTCCCTACTGTAAGAAACGTGAAGGCTCTGCCAGGAATCTCAAGCGAATGTGGGGCCCATTACCCCTGATCCAAGGCTGGTGGGGGGAGGAAAAGGTGCGTATAGGGTCACGATGCTGGGGTTCAGTGGCCACGCTGAGGCATCAGAGACCCCAAAACAACAAACCCTAAACCCTAAACCTAAACCCTGAACCCCAAACCCTAAGCCCTGAACCCTAAACCACGAAGCCAGCAGAATCCGGAGCGAGGTGCCTCCTCTGGCGTTGCAGTTGGACAACCTGCGAGGGGTTCGTCCCCTAGACCCTGATACATCCGAACTACACGTGGGGGCACCCCAAACCTACTAGTTGCTTAAGAACCCCGAAAAAGTATATTTCCTTTCAGGGAAATATAGGGACTATTATTTTCCTTTTGGGGTTCTTAAGCAATTCGTAGAAACTCGGTGATAGCCATCATTGCAGCTCTAGACGTAAGACCCGAACGCGCACCCCGTCAGCCTATAAGCTAGGCCCACGCTTCAGCGCTATACCCGTCCAACCCTGCAAGTTGGGAGACCTGGAGAGGGTTTAGGTTTAGGGTTTAGGGTTTAGGGTTTAGGCTTTAGGGTTTAGGGTTTAGGGTTTAGGGTTTAGGGTTTAGGGTTTGGGGTTTGGGGTTTAGGGTTTAAGTGCCCGGGGAACTGCCAATGAAATGCCGAGGCACCAGGTGAAACAACGCTGGAAACCTGGCGGGGGTGTCGGAGGAAGCCTAACCTCCAAACCGGGAGGTATTGATGCTTTCAATTTGGCAAGAGAGGGAGAGAGGGAGAGAGGGAGAGAGGGAGAGAGGGAGAGAGGGAGAGAGGGAGAGAGGGAGAGAGGGAGAGAGGGAGAGAGGGAGAGAGGGAGAAGGAGACAACCGAAACTGCAACTGTCAGAGGCTATGCCGCAGGTTTCGGGGGTGGTGTGGGGGCTCCCGCCTCTGCCTTGGCTTTTGGGTGTGCAGGCGTTTTGCCCGCAACTCCGAGTGAGCTCCCACGCACGCCCGTGATTTCGGAACTACACCCTCCGAACCCAGTCTCGAGGAGCAGAAGATTTCTGACCTCCACACCTTACAAAGCCGAAAAAGAGCCTTAAACCAGCCGCGTGGCATGTTGAACGTCGGGCCGTGGAGCCCTGCATTTTCGGCCTCTTTGGACTTCCGGACCTCCCAGCAGAGGGCTTAGGGTTCAGAGCTTCAGGTCCGGGGACATCTCCAAGGTGCATGGTTTTGGGCCCCATTTTCTCAGCTTAGAGCAGAAACTCGATGTGTCAACACTTGACATATCCACCCCTCATGTGCTTCCTTTTGTCAACCGCGAACAACTTCCGACAGAACGCTGAGATAAGCAGACACAGCGGACCTCTGGCCGAAGCTGCATCTTCTTCATGGTCACTTGCAGTAGCTTGTGCATCTCCTGATTGGGACAAAGCCATGGCCTATAAGGTTCAGGGTGAGGAACAACCAGGTGAGTTGTCCCCTAAACCCGTACACACCGAAGAGGGAAACAAAGCAACAGAACAACACCCGACGGCCCCCCGAATCTCCCTGAAACCCAATCAACCTCTAAACCCTAAACCCTAAACAATGGGGCTCAGAGATTGTTTGCCCGGTCTTGGAGGTTGAGGTGTCTACCGGGGATTTTGGGCTTTGAGGGGTAGCCTTGGGGGTTTTGACTTTTGGGGTTTCGGGTTTAGGGTTTAGGGTTTAGGGTTTAGGGTTTAGGGTTTAGGGTTTAGGGTTTAGTGCAGGCCGTTTAGCCACTCAAGCCGCGCCTTCTCAACAGGCTGCCCGGCCACTAAGGAGAAGGAGCGCACCTCGCTCTTTCAGGGTCTGCGGTCTTCTGGGGTTTAGGGTTTAGGGCTTAGGGTTTAGGGTTTTGGATTTAGGGTTTAGGGTTTGGGGTTTAGGGTTCGGGTTTTATTGGTTTTCTATTATCTTGTTTTGAAGGGGGGGGAGAAGGATTTAGGTTTGGGGTTTTTGGGGTTTTGGGGGGTTTTAGGGCTTTGGGTTTAAGATTTGGGATGTTTGGTTTTTTGGGTTCAGGGTTGGGGTCCAGCTAAGCAGCAGCTGCTTTCATCTCCTTCTTGTCCTGGCCAAAAGCAGGGAAAGCAGGGCAGCAGTTGAGGGGCAAGGAGAAGCCATGATCCCCCAGCCCTCAAAACAGAAGAGGCTTTCGCCGCAGGCCCGCCAACTCACTCCAGCCTCCAACTACCGGCTGTCATGGGCATGCTCAAGGTTTTAGGAGGGGTTTGGGGGGGGGTGGGTGAGCCCCCATCGAAACACTCCAGCCCTCTTCGGGGGTCCTTCACCGTGCGCTTGCACCACTGGGTGTAGTTCAGGGGCGTGGTTCCCACGGCCAGGATATCATCCTCGGGAGCAAGTTCGGGTCTGAGGGCGATAGGGCGTTCGGGACGGGTGCACTTCAAGGCCCTTGCAGGAATTTTCGGAGGGGGATGCGCCCTTAACCCTAAACCCTAAACCCTAAACCCTAAAAACCCTAAAAACCCTAAACACCCTAAACACCCTAAACACCCTTAACCCTAAACCCGAAAAACCCTAAACACCCTAAACACCCTAAACACCCTAAACACCCTAAACCCTAAACCCCGCGAGCCGTAGATCAAGACGCTGGCCTTCGGGGGAGTGCAGGTGGGCTCGGCCTTGATCCACTCCCAGGTCTCGGAGCCTCGTTGTTTGGGGTTTAGGATTTGGGATTTAGGGTTTAGGGTTTAGGGCTTAGGGCTTAGGGCTTGGGGGTTGGGGGTTGGGGGTTAGGGGGCTTAGGGGGCTTAATTCTTGGGGAATTTGTTGTTGCATTGTTGGGGGCGGGGGGGGGGGGGTTCTGGGGTGTTGAGTGTAGGGGCTTAGGGGGGTTTAGGGTCTTCAAAGGCTCGAGGTTGGGATCTTGGGTTCGGTAAGTTTCCCTGAGACCTTGAGCCCTAAATCCAAAACCATGTAGTACCTAGGGAACCTTCGGGAAGCTTAGGGAGCCTTAGGGAGTAGTGGGGAGTATTGGGGAACCTTGGGTTAATTACCCCTACACCCTAAACCCAAAACCCTAAACCCTAAACCCTAAACCCTAAACCCTGAACCCTAAACACCCCCCCATGAACCTACCCCCTTGAACCCCCCTCCCTTCAGGGCACAATACCGCCATGGCCTCCAACTTTGCTCACGTTGCCCCAGAAGAGGTCGGCGATGCCCTCCCGGATGCCTTCCTCCACACCTGCAACAAGTTGGCTGAGGGCTTAAGGTTTAGGGTTTAGGCTTTAGGGTATAGGGTTTAGGGTTTAGAGTTTAGGGTTGCTCAGGGTTCAGGGCTTCGGGGATTCGAGGGTTCCGACAAACTTTTGGGGGGTGTGTGAGTTTAGGTGAGCATGTTGCGGAGCCGTGGGGCAGGGTTCCAGGTTGCCACAGTTGCCGGCACTGGAGGCCGAACCCTCAACCCCTAAACCCTCAACCCCTCAACCCTCAACCCTCAACACCCTAAACCCGCAACCCGAAGTGTGGTTTCCTTGACCCATGGGTTCCCCGAATGCTCAACACCCCCACTCTGCCTTTCATCTGCACGCTATCAGACTGGATGACCGTCTTGTTGACGTCGAAATGCAACAGTAGAGGCACCTTGCGGCCGTGGAGGCGACTTCTGTGAGTGTCGTTGGTATCGCCTGCTCTCCACTGTGGCGCTTGCTGCTGTCTTACTGTGCTGTAGCTATTTTCGTAAGATTGCACATCCGGCTTTTTCCAATCTGGAACATGCTGGAAACGACCGACTCCCAAACATTGCAACAAATGCTCACAAAATTTTGGGTAGGATGGACAAGAAGACAAGAAATTACGCAAAGGTGCTGTTGCTGATGTTGATGCCTGTGGCGTTATTGATGCTGCTGGTATGCATCTTCCGAATCTGGCATCCATCTCACCTTGACTCTCCCTGACCCACTTGACTATGATACTACGGGCCACCACCATCCGCCAACACTCAGACAGCTACCATCATAAGAGCACATGGGCAGCTCTCTAAACGAGGGACCCTTGCTGGGTCCTAATATGTAGCACGACACCCTTGAAGTAAGGACCCAAAAAAAACCGAAGAGAACTACCCACATTGAGTTCAGTTCCTTGACAGCACTCGCTGACATGGAGACAGGGAAGAAGGGCTGGGGCCAGCACTGTCGTCGAAGAGCCATCCTGGCTGATCGGGCTTCTGAGCCCAGAACCCAGAACCCTAAACCCTAAACCAGGGAAGCCGAAGACCGAACAGCACGGGTCTTCTTCAGAGCTTCACAGCTTCACACGACCGGGCCTGCGATCGCCGGGATGGTTTGGAGCTGGACGACCTGATTGGCCGTGCGCGCGACACGACATCTTCCAGCTGGGACGTGCCCCCTTAGACTGACAGTCCTTAATAGGAGGGTTTAGGGTTTAGGTTTTAGGGTTTAGGGGTTAGGGGTTAGGGTTTAGGGTTTAGGGTTTAGGGTTTAGGGTTTAGAGTTTAGGGTTTAGGGTTGAGGGATAGGGATGATGATAGGGGGTACGATACTCCCCATTAAGGACTGTTAGAAACAGGGAGAACATCCCAATCTTCCAGCTTGGAACCCCTCAGACTGGACTGCACTGTGGCAGGAGTGATGCCCCAAGCCTCCCAGCCCCAGTCTGTGCAACAACATCATCTGCCCCAAACCCACCCAACAAAAAACACGCTACCTAGGCCCCTAAATCGAACATAACTAATGGCACTAATTAATTAAGAACCCTAGAAGTACTAAACCCCAATGCCCCGTAACTACCCTAAACCACCCCCCCCCTCCCGATAATCCACAACAACCCCAATAACCCAAAACAGCCCCAATAACCCCCTAACAACCCTAATCACCACACGACAGCACACCCCGAACAACCCAGCCTCAAGAGACCAAGGCAACCCCATCGACCGCAGCAACCCATAACAGCCCCAACCCAATAACCCATAACAAGCCAATACAACACAACAACCCTGGTAACGACCTTAATAACCCACAACAACCCTCCGTAACAACCCCAATAACCCTCAACCTAAGCCCGAAACCCTGAACCCTAAACCCTAAACCCTAAACCCTAAACCCTAAACCCTACAGTAAACCCAAGGTCCAGGCTTCCCAGTACCCGAGGTGCAAAACATGGCCTCGGGTGGCTTGTCGTAGATTCTATGGCTTTGGGGGCCTTCGAGGTTTAGGGTTTCAGTGATCCGGCTCGTTAAAAGGCCTCGAGGCGACATGGAATCTTCATGACCCCAAGATCCCCGACAACATCCCCAACAACAACCCCAACAATACCCCCAGCAATAACCCCAAAAACTTGGCTGCACTTAGGAGGCTGGTTAAAAATCTAACTTTTAGCTGCCTTATTTAGAAACCCAAAAACGATAAGGATCTAAAGTTACAGTAAAGAACCACAAAAAGAAAAAAGACCCCCAACACCGAATATTAATAGTCCGATTGGTTATGCGGGTGAACCCTAGAAACATCAGAGTTTCGGCGCGCAACCTGCCCCAGTAAGCGCAAACAGTGGGCTTAGGGTCTAGGGTCTCGGGATTCGGGTTTCGAGCTTAGGGCTTGGGGCTTAGAGTTTAGGATTTGCGATTAGTTTAGGGTTTAAGGTTTAGGGTTCAGGGTTTAGGGTGTAGGGTGTAGGGTTTAGGGTTTAGGGTTTTGGGTTTTGGGTTTTGGGTTTAGGGTGTAGGGCTCAGGGTTTAGATCCAAGGCGGAGTTGAAACCTTTAAAACCAACACCGCCCAAGCTCGATGAGTTTTGGGCCCATTAGGGTCTAGGGCCTAGGTTTCAGGGCCTCAGTGCTCAAGGCTCATGGATCAAGGCGTGGGGCTCTTTCAGGCGCAGGGGATCACGAAAGGTTCTGGGTCGAGGGTTGCAGGTGCACCGAGGCAGCAGCCGGACTTTCTTGGCCAAAGCTGCACTCCCAGGAGTGAAACGACGAAGGGTCCCCTGGCCTACCCTGGAACCTTTATGCTTTTGGCTAGGAGAGGCATCTGCTTGGCTTAAGTTGCAAAACCGAGGTGACGCTTGGGGATCAACATGTCTGCCATGTGCCTGGCCTGATGTCCTACCAGTCAGGTATTCGTCTCATGTCCTGTCATGTCTATCACAGTTCGAATCCAACAGCAACACTAAGTTAAACGAGGAGGTCTCGAGCAAAATGGCACGCATTCCAGGTTTCCATTCCAAGCATTGCAAGCACTTTCTGGTCTACAGCTATGGCATGCAATCAGAGATCATGATTCACGCGACAGCATCTTTTGACTCACGGTCGCGATGTCAAATGCTCCATGGCGAATTGGCTAGGACCTCTGCCTGCACGGTGCCTGAAGCCGATTGCTGGCTGCAGCCTCGTCACAGTGATGCTGGTATCGCTGGTTGGCCCTGACCCTGTACTGTCGGCATAAACTGCAATCGCTGCCGACACGCTCGGCGAAATCCGAAGCGCAACCTTTAGTTCACAGCCACGGCCCACGGCTGCGAGGGATGTACTCGCGCATCTTTGGCGCGGCGTTGCTGCTTGGACTGGCTCGCGCCCCCCGGCGAATGCTGTACCCTCGATACCCTGGCACATCCACTGCAAGTGGCTTGGGCCCAAGGTGTGCCGCGGCACGACGTGGTGAACGTGACATGGTGACTCATCGTTCTCGCTGAGGGCTACCCATCTGAGTCCGGTGGAGTGCCACAGAGCACCAGAATGTCCCTGAATGCTCCTGATCCTGCTCAATTCATCTTTGGCTGCTTTCGGCGTCGGCGATGCTTTCTCATGGCTCCGCTCGAGGCGCGAGCGGAGCACATGTTGACGTCACAGTCAGTGCGTGGATAGCACACTTCTTTTCTGCTTTCCGACGCATCGTGTTGCACCCACATTGACCTTCAGACACCAAGTAGGCCCCTTTGGGCAATCCTGGTCCGTTTCCCTCCCGGGCAAGGCATCCACACGGACAGGGTGCGACATGTGCGACCCGTTTGCTTTTGCGCAAGCCAACCTGTTGACCCTCGTCTATGTGGAGACAGCCTCAACCGCAGGCCCCTGAACATGGAAGCTGCGCAGGTCCACCTCCGGCTCTTGAAAGTCCCTGCGGTTGATGGACCGCTTCGGGGTGCCCTAAGCCCTACTCTGTTTGGAGCCGGCCGAGCCAGCAAACCCCAATATGCTGGGAGATGCGGGGCTCTTCTTAGGCACTCAGAGGAAGCCATCCCGGGGGGCAATGAGACATCAAGGCCAGAACAACGCTTGCTTGCACCAGTACTGTCAGGACAGAGGGTTTAGGGCTTCGGGTTTAGGGTTTAGGGTTTAGGGTTTAGGGCTAGATGACATCGGAACAGACCGGGGCACCGGGGCCTCCGACAACGGCAAAGCTCCTGGGAGCTACTCAAACCCTAAACCCTAAGCCCTAAACCCTAAACCCATGTTCATGTGAGCTACAGGCAGGGTTGGAGGAGAGCAAAATGGGAATATAAGCACGAGCATCGAACATCCCCAAGCCAGCAGGGAAGCCATCGCCCGGACAACGGTGCAAAAGGCTTCCTGCCTAGGGGATAGGATTAGGGGGACGCTTGGGGATATAGACCCTCTGAATAAGGTCCCTGTTTAAGAGAGCCAGAAGAAGGTTGAGAAGGGGTTCCCTTTTGCGGGTCCTCCTTATCCTAGCTAGGACTGCCGCAGTTCAACCTCAAAGCCAAAACAGCAACGCCTTTGTGCTTCTTATGGCGCCCGGGAATGTGGCCGGAATTTGCACCATTGGACTAAGCTTTGCCTGCATGCATGCATGCATGAATGACTGAATGAATGAACGAATGAATGAACGAGTATCCAAATGCGGCATCGTGGATCGCAGCAGAATGATCAGCACGCATGGCGCGCATACACAGGAAGCTTGCCACACAAATCCGTGCTACTGGACGACATGACAGGGCCTGTCGCGGAGCTCGAAATGACACTTAGTCTACATTCGGAACCCGCTCAGGACCAGAGGCGAGCCACAAATGCAGGGTTTGTGTGGCTCAAGGCTTTTGGGAGGCATGAGCTCCGTAGGTCTGAGGCGAAGAGGTCCTAAGACCTTTTGTCGCTTTCGGTCTCTTGTCACCAGGTCGTGGCTCACAAGTCCCTTTCCGCCCTAAACTGCAGGTGCCTCCACCTGAGCAGAATCCACCAGGCCAAACAGCAAACACGCTGTAAATACCGATGCTTCCGGCTGCACGCAAAAAGGATGCACCCGTCCCCCCCCCCCCCATGCCTGGGGAAGTGCCAAAGTCGACAACCCTTCCACGGCGGCGAGAACACTTTTTGAGCACGGACTGGGAAACTGCCGGCAAGCAGGGCGGCGAGAACCCTAAACCCTAAAACCTAAACCCTAAACCCTGAACCCCTAAACCCTACCTTAAAACTGACCTTGTGCCGCAACAGCCTTGGCAGCGTGCCAGCATCTGCAAGCCAGTCAGTTGAGGGCTGGAACCGTGCGGGAATAGTTGGGCTAGGGACTACCAGTGTTTCCTCAGAGCCAGGAACGCCAGGCCTGATCCGGCTCATGCTTCTACATGTTGCTGTCGCTGCCTATCTATCAAACGTAAAGCAGGTAGAAAGCCAAAGATATCATTCAAAGAAGCCCCTGCGCAGCCCACCTTTTCCACATCTGCACCGACCTGTGCGTGGGTGTCCTGGGCAGCTGTCCGAGGTCCAAGGATTGGAATGCGCGGTGGCTGCCTGATGGCTGTCTGGTGTCTGTTGCTCAACGACAGGCAAACCCTGACTCTACCAGAGTGGTAGTAGAGGTCATATTATGTCCAAGCAACATGAGCCACCTTCTCCAAGCCCGGAACCCTTCCCCAAAAAAGAACACAAAACCGCTCTCCGAGCAGGCAGACGAAACGTCTTGCGTCTGAGTGCAAGGGTTGCAGCTTTGCTTCGCAAAATGCCACAACCGTCACACATACAAACGCCTGTGAGCAATGCATGCTGCATTGTATGCCACAGACGCTCGTGGTGCAAAGTGTGACTTCGGTCAAAACCGCTTCGCACAAGAGCTCGGAACTTCCAAAATCATTGGTGCAGCCACCGGCTGCACTGGGATTCAGCTATGAAGGCTTTTGTTGTCAGCTCTCACGCCGGTAGTACGTTCGCTGCACGCTTACCACAGCAAATGCTCCATGAGCCATGTTGCATCCTGTTGTTTCCTAAGATGAGTCCAAGGCTTACCAGGCAAGCTCCGACGATGGAGGCCCCGACGACGATTGCAATTTCCCACCCTTCCAGTGGAACTGCGCCACACACACAAGGACCGGAGTCGTTGACGATTTCAACGGCCATCATCCCCACGTCCTCGTGGTCCAACCGATGGCAATGGAGCATGACCTGGCGCACAGTCCCAAACAATCACCAGAGAACAAATGCCGGTGCGACAAGTAAGGGAAGGCCTGTGCTGGAAGCATCAAAAGGTATGTTGCACTATGTTGCACTACAGTCACAAAGGAGGCTATTCAAGGGTTTGCACCTCTCACATCCAAGCAACCTTTCCGGTAAAACGCATGGCTTTGTACCTGAGAACGCCAGCCCCCTCGATGGTGTCGTGCCAGTCACCGGCCAGAAAGTAGTTGGCATCAATGTTGCCACTGCCGCGTCTGTCATTGTCGCCTGCGCCAAAGCCCGAGATGATCTGGAATGGGTAGACATGCTGGTGGTAAGGATGCTCTCTGGCGCTGATCTCGCGCTCAACCACTGCACCCAGATAGCTCTGATGCAGAATGTCCTCCTTCTCAAAACGGCGGCCATTCACATCACGGCGATCCAACTTCGTGACACAGGAGCAACCCAAGGATGCCTCCGTGTTTAGAAGACTTTCAAGATATGCTGGGTATGTTGGGCTCCACGGCTCAAGATCAACCGAAGGCTTCTGTTCGGCTCCAGTGGTCACCGTTGCAAGGAGGTCGCCTGCCCATGTGACCTGGTACTCTGAGCTTACACTGGGACAGCGCACCATGAGGTCAGCTCTGCCCCCAACGGCTATGGATGCAGAGCCAAGCAACATTCGAGGAAAGTCTCGAATGTACACACCGTCCTTTGCAAGGAGCGCCATCTCACATCCAATGATCTGGAACGACAACTCCTCGGCCAGCCACCCAGCGTATACTA